GAAAAAGGTATGAAAGCTGTGTTTAGCAAGAAACTTGTTTCAGAAGGTCGGAATATAAGGCTGAAGAATTTTATTCAAATGATAATTTGTTTTTTTCTCAGTGGGACATGACATCCTTTTGGAGTAGCATTGCGACAACCGTGGGCAGACTTAAAAACAGCAGCACTTCTGTTTTCAGGAATTATCCTATTTATTTTATATTATGATTTGAGAGAATAGGAATATTTTATCGCAGACTGAAGGCAAAAAGTCCTCGTCCATGCAGTGGGCTCTCTGTGGGATTGCACCGATTCCCGCGAAGAATTTGTAGAAGTCTCCATACAAACATTCTCAATATAAATAGGGATTGCAGAACTTCACGTAGAAGCGTATTAGCGAATGCGCCATGCACTCGACCACCATTTTCCGTAGTTCCCTATGACTAGCTCGGTGGAAATGATGCGCGCGCTGCAAGGTACAAAAAGCGATTAACAGCGCTTTGTGGATCCTTTTGCAACGCAAGCCCCGAGCGTCATTTTTTTAAAGGCAGTGGACACTATAATTTGGCCCCTGTAGACAACCGAAGGCATGGAGCTATATACATAGTATGAAACTGGAGTGAAAACGGGAAAGACCTGCAGAATACTGTCGAATAAACAAACACCTGTCGTAAGATCACCGTTGATGCAATCGATGCGAAAAAACCACAGTGATTGTATGTAATCAAGAAAAAAATTTAAAAGAGGTGTCGAGACGGTATCAAATCTTCTTTAGCAAAACTAGCAGCACACTCATTACATTATTTCGGAACGCCAGTCAAATATTTGATGTTCGAAAGAGAAAAGAATCCGAAAATTCCAAAAGATCTTGCAATACGCCTCAGAACGACATTATCGTCATTATCGTCACCAGCAAGGGCTTTCCTATCGAGAGGGAACCTTGGAAAAGAAAAAAAACACGAAAATTTGAGGCGAGAACATTTTATTGAAGGTTGCAGAACCGGTGATCCGACCATGATCATTAGCAGGCTGTGTGGCATTTGTAAGCGAGACGGACGTTTAGACATCTAGACGCTGGAGGTGAACACGTTAGAAGGCTCGCCCTCTCGCGCAGTTTATCGTGCCCACTGGTTTTGAAGTAAAACTGTACACTCACCTCCGACGGGGGTCTAGGTCTTGTAGTAGGTGAACGAGTTCGCCGTTGTGGCAGTTTGCCAGTCTCCTCGTCTCTCCGCTCAGAAGTGCACGGGAAAGGAGCTAGGGGATAGTGATACCCAGGTGCCGTCTTTATTATCCACCCGCCCTATCCTCGATATGCAGCACTTGCGTCGATAACAAGATCATGCAGCTAACACGCGATCCCAGGTAGAGAACAAGCGGAACAAAGAGGGCTCAGACAAGAAGCGCGTCTAGCTATGGTTAGGTGTGCGTCTGACCTTGCGGCAGCACAGTCAGAGCATGGAAACGACCTGGTGTTATTGCCCGTTGAAGTGCATTTCTATGTGGGGAAAATGGCATGTTACTGCAGCTCGGACCCGTTCACCTCGCAAGAATCGGAACCCACGGAAGTGAGCCCACAGTCTGCTCTTAACACAATCATCGATCCGTTTCTGATGACCTTATCGTTTAAGGCATCCCTCTCCCGCACCGCCTCTAGTGGGTCGAGTAGGATCACTTTTTTGTTACACGTTGACATTACTCCCAACCCTCTAGAAACTTGCGACCCGTAGCAACTTTGTGAGAATTCAGCTGCAGGAAGGTAATAATTGCTCGTAGGTTTTAGAAGTGCTAGTATCCTCTACAAGTGCATTACAGGTTTATTTCAAAAGAATCACTGACTAACCCTGTTCTGAATAACGGGTAGGATAAGAAGTGCAATGGGCAATTCGGCATGTAGAACAAAGTCGATGAACTGACAAGCACTTTGACCGCCTTGCTTCTTCGAAATAAGATCTGAAAATAATCGATCTGCTTTACTTTTTAGCCAGAGAAAATCTCATTAATAGAAAAAATTTCAAAGCAACATCAGCACGATGAAGGGACGTTTCACAGTGTCACCGTCCGCGAAACCCAAAAGGGAAGCCTCGCTCTTTAGAGCGAATACTCAAGCTTATAAGAGTAACAGACGAAGTTCCAATAACGAGCTGTTCAGAGCAGTCATGCACACCGTTAAAACACATCTCCAAACCCAGCTAGAGCGGCAGAGTTGCCACCGCTTTCTGCCATACCGTGCGAAACGGAAGCCATACCGTGCGAAACGGATCATCTGTGCTTTGGAGTGTATTCCTTTCCCAATTATTTGTTTTTCTTTGCTTCTAATTAGAGGGAAGTAGTATGGTGAATGCAGTTTGGAAGTGTGGGAGTGGAACAACAGGGAATAGAAGGAAGGCCCTAGAAGGGCTTCCTCGGCACAAGAGCGCAAACTGGCAACTCCGCAAAGTTAGGAAATAGTGGTGGGAACGCTAACAATGCCCTAAGGAACAAGGCGCGTGATACATAGCTGTCACCCAAGGAATATGTTCGCTGATGCACCTAGGCGGACAGTCTAGGGAGCCTTAGGGCTCTGCTTTTCCCTTTCTTTTTCTCCTGAATGCGGGACAGGCTAGGGAGCCTTAGGGTTCTGCTTTTCCCTTTCTTTTTCTCCTGAATTTATTGAGCATGATCCGTATATAATCCAAATTCGGGTTCATTTGCTCAGAGTGAGGACTGCTAACCGCTAAGCGATCAACGAGCTCCAATACATAACTGTTTCCATGAGGCTCTCTCAAGTGACAGTAATCAAATGATGAACATTCCACGAAAAACATACCTTTGACAAGACGGGCGACTCGTGGCCACATGGGCGTCAGCAGTTCCCAAAACAAAGCATCATCACTTTGAGGGCTGAAAATAAGAGATGACTTTCTGAGAGGGCAGAATTTATACTTGAGTTTTGCTTGAGAAAAATCGCACACTTCTCAAAACCCTTATCAAGACCTGCGGAAACGGCGATTTACCCACTTTTCACCTATGAATAAGGAAATGTTGAGAAAAAGAAATCCACCTAGATATATGCACTGTGAAACGCTATCCCGTACGATGCGTAAAGTGGAGACGGTTGCCGAGTGGCCACGGTCAGTGACAGAGACAGAGCCTTGTCTTCCAGACATGTCTGCAAAAAGAAAAGTCGAAACGAAGATGATGAAAAATAATTCATTGAAAAACAATCAGTTTGAGTGAAAAAGAAAACTGCTGTTAAGAGGAGGCTGATTGTAAACAAAACTAGATCGTTGCACACATAGTTGCAGTGAGTATTAATATCAGGTACATACGTAGGTAGTGAACCGAAAATGCAGAAATATTCACTGTTTTCAATTACAAGCCAATATTCCCTGTTTCCAACTTAGAAATCACCATACAAACCGTATCTCAGGGATGGAAAGTGCGGCCGCGAACTTTATTCCGAAGATGAACGAGGACGGATTTTTCGTGGGATGGTTACTGTTTCATGAAAGGTTTATTTATAGACCTCCAGCTTACGGTTACTGCATCAGATCTAGATTGGCGACAGGGCACAGCATCGTTGTGTGAAAACACATAGGGGGAGGGTCGACTTTTCCGCTGGGAGGGGCGAGGTCGAATGTGGTGCTTAGGAGGTGGGGTGTTGTATTTGCCTTTGAGAGAAATTTGCCGCGTTCGGATGGATTCTTCCCGTGTTGTTGACTTTGAGTGATTTTTCCTGTTTCATATTTCATGTGTACTATATACCCACCCCCACCCCTTCCCACCCCCCTCCCCCCTCTCGACGGAAAATCTTTGGGTGAAAAACTGGGAAATGTGGGAAATTGAATTGATAGGTAGTGCTGGGGGAGGGGTCGCACTCAGACCCTCTATTGGATGGGGGTGTCGTACCAAGACCCTTCCCTTCAAGGGGGGGGGGTGTCGTACCGACACCTCATTTCACACATCACGATGCCCCGATTGGCGATAAAGTTTGGCGATAGGCTTCAGAATGGCAATTTTCCACACTTTCTATGTTTTTCTTTTGTTTGCGACAAGGTTCGTGCACTTTGCCGCTTGGCCCATTAGGGCCGATTTCAATTGAACAATAGGAGCTCTAGGCCCCGTGAGGTCATCACCAAAGAAGATCTCACATTCTGGGATGCTGCCGAAGAAATTATCAGTACTGAAGAAGATGATGATGTGCTAAGGATAGCTGTAGGCAAGTCATTTTGTCGATTCAACGAGGATAACTGCGATTTTGCGTGAGGAATCCCAATAACAACAACGCGTTTTTGAGTGCTGACCCCACCTTCAGCGGATTCGAAAAATTGCAAGATCGCTTAGGACATGGTTAATAACCACGATTTTATTTTGGATAGTTGGAAGTTTCACGTGGGTTCCCGCGAGAAACATGGAGTTTGATCGCTGCCTGTAAACTTTTCACTGTTCTGTTATTTCAGTGAATTTATAACTTTGTTTGCTCAGGCGTTCCAATTCTTTTCAAATGCCTGCGAACAGGCACGAAATTGATCTCATTTTTAGTTTCTCACCCAGTTTTCTTGCAATGGTTGTGGAACAATAGGCAGCTGTCGTTGCACTGAAGTGTGGCCTTGTGGCCTAATGGATAAGGCGTCGGACTTCGGATCCGAAGATTGCAGGTTCGAGTCCTGCCAGGGTCGGAACTTTTGCATTTACTTGTAACATCCTACTAACATATCAGTGGGCCTCTTAACTCGTAAAATGGGCTACGGAATGGACCCCTTAGGGCACATTTCCACTGCCAGGTTTCAGTGACCATAAATTTATTTCAAATCAATTCATGACATTAATGTTCGAGTTTTGACTGCATCTGAGAATAGTTACTTAAGTCTGAAAGCAAAGGAATAAAGAAGAACTGAAACAGTGCTGCGGTTGTTTTTTTTCAGGTAAATCTTTGCAGTTCATGGAAACCAACCGTGTTGTGTGCCTCTGATGAATGACGTTGCCAGCGTCGAGGTGTTACCGAGCGGGGTAGAACTATGCTTTCCAGCAGGTGGTGAAATAGCGTGCTGCATCAACGACAGGCAAAATGTTAGATCTTTCCCTTGGATGATCGATGCTTCTGGAAAAGATACTCACTGGATGAAAAGAAAGGTCATATGGTGTGAAAAACCGGAATGTTTAAATCAAGATTCTAGGAAAATAATTGAGGTGAAGAGAAATTCTTCACTTTTCCAGTCCAAAATTATTTTCATAGCAACAACACATCCCCTCGAAAAACATTATAAACAATTTTGTCGGGTGCCCTGAATGAGGAACAGGTAAGAGAAGATAAGTGGAGGGTAGTATCTATCTGTCCCGTTATTAATCACCTCTATACCACCTTCGGACAGAGGTCATACCCACTCCAAGGGGGTCACATGGTTCGTGAATGGGTCACTTAATACGTCAATCAATACACGAAGCACTCCAACGAAACACTAAAGGCATAAGTAGAGGAACTA